AAATACCGGTAGCAAAATGCGTTATGGGGGATTCCGTTCACTTGCCCCCCCCCCAATATATTTAAGGATATCCAAAAAACAATAATGGCGCAAAGATATCTTTTTACGGCGCATTTCAGCGCATACCTGAGAGTACAATTTCGTATGAAAAGATGTTAAAAAAAAATAACTTTTAAAATCGTTAAGTTGGCCCCCCCACTTTTTGAAAATTTGTCACGGCTTAACCGTAATGGCGCTAGCTTTAATTCAAGTGGCGCAATTGAGCGCATAACCAAATGTATCAGGTGACCTAGTTACAAGTGACAAAATACGTACGGGGGGGGGGGGCTACGTTCACTTGCCCCCCCCCCATGTTTTTTCGGATTTCTAAAAAACGATAATGGCGCAAGAGTTATTATCGGTGGCGCATATGAGCGCATTCATTTCAAGGAGGGAAACGTCGTTTCCAAAAACGCTTTATCGATTGTGTTAGGCGCATTTCAGGACTCCTACACTTTTTTTTGTAAATTTCTCACCAGAGCGAGGTGAACCTCAACAGTCTGGGAGCTCAGTCGCTTATGAAAACGACCTACAAACTCTAGGGTCAAAAAAGCTCTGGTAAGGTCACAAAATGCTCAGGGTTTTAAGGAATTTGGATGCATTTGAATGCTCTGAGAAAAAATGCGCGACAAAGGATATAAAACTCTAAAATAGAAGTTTTTTAAGTGATCCGACAATCGTCATTTACTGTTGATCATTTTTACCACCTGCACGTTAGTGAGGGAGGTAGGTATTGCAATGGAGTAAAAAATGACCCCTCTTTTTTTACGAAAATCCACGTTTTTAAGCACCAGGAATTCGAATCAAACAACATCTCAATTATCTGTCTGTCGATCTGTCGGTCTGTCTGTCTGTCAGTCTATACCTTCATTTCCGGCCAAACGGCTTAACCGATTGGAACCAAATTTGGGACACATAAAAGGGCAGAATTGCGCATGTGCAGGTGTGCGGTTTGTATCCGTGCTATCCACAGAAATTTTTTTAGGGAATCCCACACTCCTCAGACCTCCCTCTTCACCAAAAACGTTTACAGAAAGCACTAACACGTCAATTGTCGAACTTAGAAGGTGAAGCACTTCTCAGGAAAAGAAGATTCGAATGACCATCCCCGAAAGTATCATGAGTGTCATAAAGGTTGAACTATTCTGCTGGAAAATGTAGCACCAGTGGTCTGGGGGGTATAGAATAACCTCCCCCCCCCCCGCACCAGTACACCGCAGTGCACACACGAAGATTCGGTTCTCTACTCTACAATACTATCAGGACAGTATTAAGGGTATTAGGTTATTCAGTCGTCATTTGCTATAGAATTTTTTTCTGTGAGGTATTCTATAACCCCCAGACCCCCGGTAATACGTTTTTCACCAAAAACGTTTACAGAAAGTATTAACACAGTTGTCAAACTTACTGTGTGCAGCACTTTTGAGGAAAAGAAGGTTCGAATGACCATCCCCGAAAGTTATCATGAATTTCTTTAAAGCTCAACGATTTTCACTAAAAAGAACGTAGCAGTGGGGAGTCTAGGGGGTTTGGAATACTCGTCAGCACCAATACCCCTTAGTGCACACACCAAAATTCGGTTGTCTACTCTAAAATACTCTCAGATGTTAGGGACGAAGTTATTGAATCTCATTTGCTATTGGGCATTTCTTCTGAGGGGTATTCCATAACACCAGAACAATGTTTTTCACCAAAAACGTTTAGAAAAAACACCAACACAACAATTTGTGTCAAACTTAGCACCACAATCCGATAGAAACATTTTACCCAAAAAAGTAGTAACGGAAAAATCCTCGGGGCTAAGAACACTTTGGGACCAAACGTAGCACCAAGGGATATGGGGGTCCCCCAGGAAAAAAAGGAAACCCGGTGACTTATTTCCAAAATGGCAACGTAAGAACCTTAGGGGCTGAGAATTTTGTGAGGCTAACCGTAGCTTCGGGCGATGTGAGGGTATGGAATAAATACTCCCCAGGAAAAACAGGGAGATTCCTTTTCCCATGAAAACAGCATAAGGATCTTTAAAGCTTTGAACATTTTGCGTCAAAACGTTGCACCTGGAAGTCTGGGGATATGGAAATCCCCCCACCCTCGGAAAAAGAGCATTCAGCGACCCTTTTCCAAAATAGTAACATAATGTGTGAGGGTGTGGAGTAGGTAAATACCTCCCAGCGCCTACATATCCCAATTCACACACGAAGATTCGGTTGTCTACTCCACAATACTATCAGGAACTCGATCAGGGCAGTACTAGGAGTATTAAGGAAAGGTTTATTGAGTCATCATTTGCTATAGAGCATTTTTTCTGGGGGGTATTCCATATCGCCCAGACCCTCCGGTGATACGTTTTTCACCAAAAACGTTTACAGAATGGACTAACGCAACAACTGTCGAAGCACTTCTCAGAAGATAAGATTCAAATGACTTTCCCCGAAAGTTACCATGAACTTCCCTGAACGACGTAGCGCCAGGGAGTCTGGGTCTGAGGCGTATAGAATGCCCGGCAGGAAAGGGAGATTCGATGATTTTTACCAAAGTAGTATCGGAAAGGTCCTAGGGCAAAGAACACTTTGAGGCAGAACGTAGCACCGGGGGTCCCCCAGGAAAAAAGGGGGATCCGGTGACCCTTTTCCAAAATGGCAACGTAAGAACCGTAGGTGCTGAGTTTCGAGGGATGTGGGGGTATGGAATAAATCCTCCCCCCCCCCTCCTCGGGAAAATAAGGAGATTCGGTGTCCCTTTCCCATGAATACGTAGCACCGGGGGGTCTGGGGGGGTACAGAATACCTCCCAGCGCGAATACATCTCAGGGCACACACGAAGATTGAATTGACTACTCAACAATATACTATCAGGGCAGTACTAAGAATATTAGGGAGTAATCAGTTACTACAGACCATTTCTTCTGGGGCATACGCCCCCTTTGCTTCCTACGTATTTATGCAAAACCGATTCAAAAATACAAGCAGGTTCGTTTAGTCGAGCACTGAAGTAATAGACGGAAACTTAAGGTTTTTGTGAAAAATTCGAAATAATCAACAAATCCCTCAATGTCATTTAGTTTTTTTTGTTCATTATTAAATTTTTGTTAAATTGTCTTAATAAATATTGAGTTTATTGATACCACTGGAAAGAATTTTTCAGTAGCTTTCCAACGCTGTGTCACAAGTATCGGGTTACCATTTAAGATTTTTGAAGAGGGGGTTGGGGGGGGGTTAAGGGGTGGAGGGTTGTCGTTCATAACGTCATTCTGGCTCCCCCTCGATACCCCCGAAACGGTTTTGCGCGATTTTCAATATCTTCTTTAGTTTGGAAAGTATGGAGGACTGCAAGTTTTAAAATTGACACCCTGTATAATTGAAAAAGCAGGTAGGAAATTCAACATTAGAAAATTGAAAAAAAATGTTATCAAAATACAGTTCCTAGCGACTTTTTGGCAAACAAAAAAAAACATAGGGAAGTGCTTGTAGGTGCATTTTTTTTTAGTTTTAGTATTTTCGGCCGAAAACGCTTTCAGTGGAGCTTGTTCTATTAGTTGAAAAGTGAAAACTCACCTTTTCATTAAGTCAGTCTCGTCTGGGAAGAAAACCCATTAACCAAAGAAGGTACGAAACTGGTTTTCATTCCTGCTCGGGCAGTTTCTGACGAACGACGGCAATTAGAGGTGGAAGAAAGTTTCTCTTCGAAGAGTGACGTCCTCGTCTCAATTACCAGTAGCTGAAAAGATAAATATTTTTGAAGACATATTTGATTTTTATTTTCTTTCTACAGACGTAACTGTTATCCGTCTGTTCTTTCTTAATCTACTTTTTAATGGTGGCTTCAAAATGGAAACCAAAATTGAAGATCTTATACCTATGAAGTTGGAGCTATGTCTAAAATTTAAAAAATCGAAAGGGAATTTTGAAAGTGAAAGAATCAATTGAGACCGAATTTTAATATGATTTTGAAACTTCCACGTTTAGAGCCTTTGAATCTAACTTCAAGGGTAAGTACCTCAAAATTGGGGACTTGAGGATTAAACTTGAATTATCAAAAAAAAAGTGAGTATGGTTCAAATGTAGGGGGCGGTTCTAATTCTGCTACCCATCGTTGTTCAATATTGTTATGTGTTTTGTTTCTTCGTTTGAATTTTTAACCCCCCAATTACACTTTGTCCGCAGAGAGCAATGTCGAACTATACACGAAGAAGCAACTCCTCTTGTTATCCAACAGGATCTGCAGAGAAACAAAGAGGACTACCACACCACAAAAATAAAACGATTCCGCTTCTTCCGACACTTCGAAGCATCCGTGATTTAATTGTGAACAGTGCAAATTCACAACACAGATTGATCAAAATTTGAGGCACCACTTAAAAGAACATCAGTATTTGGAGGCCCTTGACGACAAAAAATCAAAATGTGAAAAAAACTGTGGTGGTACGCAGGATTTTAAATGTGAAGAGTGTGAATTCACGACGCAATGGAAAGGAAACTAGATTTAACACGTGAAGGGTAGTCGCCAGACCCGTAGCTAGGAGGTGAGCCCCACCTAGAATGTGACCTTGCCCCCACTGGAAATTACGGTTGGTGGTTCCTTTACAAAAGCTACAGGGAAAGCATTTATCAAAAATTTCTTAAGCCCTACCTAGAAAAATACCCCTGCTACTTCGTTCTGGCTACGGGCCTGGTTATCACCTCCGAATTCGACTGCCAAAAGTGACTTCACGAGGAAATCACACCACAAGCAATGACGTCACGGTTCCGATGGATTTAACTGTAAAATGTGCAGCTTCTCCACGACGACGTGGAGGAATATTCTCAGTCTGCACGTGAAAGGGACGCGGATTCGCGACAAAGTGAAGGAAAAATTTGCGTGCAGCGACGTCACCACCTGGGGGAGTTTTTTTGTGACCTTTGTGATTACAGGTACGAATGCGAAACGCGATCTAATCGAAAAGGGGTATCAGTATCACACGAAATTGTTATAAACGGGGTGGTATTTGGATAAAAAATTCACGTACGTTGCAGGACCATTCGTAAAACGTAAACAAACCATGGCGTGACGTCATCATCCCTATAAGAAATCGGTGGTTTTTTTGTGGTTAGGGGTCCTTTGAACACTAATTAATTGTGCGCATGCATTAATTATCAAATAAAGAAAGTAGACTCACCTTTTGAAAGCCGTTCCTGAGGGTGGAGGCGATTCCTGGAACAAAATGCATTTTTTTAGAGCGGTGCTGTACCTAACCGACGCCATTGGAAAACGGAACGCGATTTGAACCGCTACCACCGTAAATACTGTTTGAACACGATTCTGGCACTTGGTATTTGTCGAATACGTAAATTAAAAACTCACCCCGTGCTCTTACGTTGAGAATCAGCGGGAAAGATGGAAAATCACGCACAAAAATTAAGGACAATAAGCCACAAGCCGTTCGGCACGAAAAGTAGAGCGCGACTGTGTTGCTTAGAAGCAACCTCGGGCAAGGTCGCGCTCTGATTGGCTGCCGAGCAATAACAGGCCACCTGTACCGTTTCTTATCACCTCCAGACGGCTTTTAGGTACAAAATTTGAACGTTTTAAGTTAATTCGAATATTTTCCTTTTTGAAAAATGAACGCGGAATAATGGGAGCCGGGTACGCGTGACGGAAAAAGCTGCCTTTCGTGAAAAGCTCGCTCCCCCTTTCCCCCTTTACACATAAGAAAATGTTCCTCGAGTGTTTATTTGCCGCCCACCCCCCCCCGTCCCAAACCTCAAAATTATGACACTGATTATACCGTTTCACTTCGATTGTTTAGATTTAGGCCCACTTCGATTTTTTTGTTTACACAAAAGGAATAACAAAGTGTCGACAGAGGAGGACCAGGCCCAATGGCCGGAGTTGCGGTACGCTGAAAGACTTTTAAAGTATGAAGCCGGAAGTCCTCTCCGCGCGGAGAGTAACCCCCCCCCCTCCTGAATGTCGAAATAAAAAAAGTGACATCCAAGAAGTTTCAGAGCGCTTTAAGAGTTCATTCAAATGCTCAATGAGAAAGAATAAATTAATAAATAAATTTGCCAAGAGGCCTTTTTAAAAAGGCCCTGGATTGGTTTCCTATTGCCACTGACCCTCGACTGGTCACCCAACCCTAGCCCTGACAACGGTGGGAGCAATTCCTAGGGTAGGCTCGGGCCCGACGAAGATCCCACCTCCCAGATTCGCCCGTGCCCAAGGCTACCTCGATCCTTCCTCTCGTCCCCATCATGCTTTCACAGCTACAATGTAAAACCAATACGAATCGAGTAGACAAGTCCCATGTACAGCCAAAAACCCTTCTAATACATGCCCATACACAAGCAGTTGCCTTTTTGCTTATTCGCTCAATGTGCCCTTTCAAGGTCACTCCAAAATGTTTCACTGAGCTGGTCAAACTCGGCTGAAGTCCTTGAAAAGTGAGACCTTCAAGGTCCTCTCTCTATCTATTCGTAAATGGAACAATCTAGGTCATTTCTAGGATAACGTAGAGGTCATGGCTACTGCACCATCTGTTCAGGGTGTTTGGAAACTTTCCAGTTATGTATCCCTGTATATACGCTGCGTCCTCGTTCAGAGTGCGGTTTAGCACCAGGCGTCACAGCAGTGGAGACAAGACTCCACCCTGCGGGCATCCTTTAGTAACCGAGCAGCTCTTCTCCGTCGTCCCTATTGAGGATATAATGACCCTGCTTCCGAGTATGGTGCAGATCCATCTGACGATTGAACGTGGTGTTATTAAACGAACCCTCGCTTCCTACGAATGCTCCCAGGGCTATCTCCCAGCAGACACTCGCCTCTGCAACTCGCACACGATGCTATGGGGGGCCGTCCCCGTGGGAATACCAGCATGTTGGAATTGCTGGGAGTAGTGGTACAGGTGCGATCCTGAACCACTTCAAGGTCGCTCACCATCTGGTAATCTTAAAAAGTAAGCCAAGGTGGTGTGTCACGTGACTGTGCCCTTAGAAATTAGGTCAAGGTGAAAGTCGCATGCCCCGTGAGAATTGACCTTGGAAACTAGGTCAAGGTGAAAGTTGAATGTCACGTGGTAGTGACTTTGGGAATTAGGTCAAGGTGAAAGTCGCGTGCCCCGTGAGAATTGACCTTGGAAACTAGGTCAAGGTGAAAGTTGAATGTCACGTGGTAGTGACTTTGGGAATTAGGTCAAGGTGAAAGTCGCGTGCCCCGTGAGAATTGACCTTGGAAACTAGGTCAAGGT